AGACCTGTGGCTCCATAGGAAGGCTTGTGTCAACTGTTACCAACCTGACTCATGAATTCAGACATGCGCTTTCCTCCATCACTCTAGTAGAGTGACGCTCCTCCCATTCAACGTAAAGTTCCAGCTCTCGGACTCAAGAAAATGGTGGGGTAGATGGGGTAGAAGACATGGAGGGGGCTCTCTGGAGCTCAGATTTATCGTCTGTGAAATTGTAAGACTTGTCCAATCCATCTCTCCAGATGGTTGTAAGAGAGGTCACCGACAGACATCTTCAGGAATACAAAGTCTATACAATTATAAACTGGCATTTTATTTCTCAAGAGCCTTCTACCAGGTCTTATGGGGCTAACAAAGTTAGCCCACCACCCAACCCTTTCCTTCAGGGCACTTACAGTCTAACATTCATACATCTAAGTGTGGTGAGTTTAAAAAAAAAAATTATGTGTGCGTACACACCCACACACACACATACACACACACACACACACACACACACACAATTCTTCTCTGCTACGAAATATCTTCATAAAGGAGTCCAATATAAAACACACTGTAACACAAGTTAAATAATCTTTGATTTTCAATACACTCAGATCATTTCACTCAGATCGGCATTAAAATTTTACATTTTTAGAAGGGAGGCATAAAGAATATAGAAACAGTGTCCTGTTATGTTAAATTCTATATAACTCAATTTAGAATCAGACATAACTAAAATGGATCAGAAAGATGGCCCAGATTACATATCTGCCTCTTACTTCCTGTACAGGATCAGTATTCCGTAAGTCCGCAAGATCACAGCTTGACCGACAGAAGTCACATACTGTAACACAGAGTAAAGGACTTGTGTTGACAAAAAGTTGGGATTTTTCCCCCTTATCAAAAAACAGGCATATTTGAAATTTTGCCAAAAGCACTTAAAGTGGATTATGTCTACATTTGACTTCGTGGTAAGTGCAAAGACAAAAATCTCTGAAATTTATAAACAAAAGTTTCTTTCTTCCTTCAGAGTTCAAGGCAAAAAAACCAGCCTTCACTGACTCTCAGGCATAGCAGAACTTGAAAGTCACAAAGATGTCAGATCTATTTATTGTTGCTGTAGCTCAAAATTTCCATCCGGCTACATTTAAACATGGAGTTGGGACTTCACAAAAATAGCATCAGCAACATTGCCACTGAGATCCTACAACCTTAACAAAAAGTAAATATGAAAGTAGAAAAGAAATGTAACCTTTTTAAAGTTCTCTCTATGCAAATAGCATGCAGAAGTCACTGATTACTGAACACTCCATCTCTTCAATATCTGAACCATCCTGACAAATCGTCACGGTGAGCTTGTTGTTTAGATCTTTCACAGATTTCTGTAAATTCCTCTTCACTTTCCGGGATGGTCTCTGTACCTACAACCACCACCTTTTCATTGTAAATTTCTTTAGAGTCCAATATCGTGGCAACCACAAAATCACAAAAGAAGCTATTTTATTAAACACGTGGGTCTGTGTGCCCTTTGCGCCCAAAGCAACCCTATCCTTAGGCCATCTTCCAAAATGATCTATTAAGAATAAAAATACTAACAGTAGCAAAATATCCACTGAGACTTGTAGAGCCACAAACTCCCTATCTTGGGATCCCCATTTCTTTGCATGAGTTCATGTCCAGTGTGGTTGGGGGTCTAGACTGAAAAAGGCAAATTTTGGGAGGCTGGACATGAAAAAAAAGAGACAAATTTTGGAGGACAGACATCCACGACGACATGAAAAGCCAGGTGCGCAGAGGAGGACACTGTGTGTTTCCCAGGATTGGAAACTCAGTCTGACACTTGAGAGAGAGACAGAGCAGTACTCAGCTAACGGGTCTGTTTTGATGAAAGCCACTGTGAGACTCAGGTCCCAACTGTGTCGCCTCCAGGCTGAAATGATAAAGTGTGACACGCGGACAGAAGAATTCCTGCCCCCCCAAACACACACACACACACACACACACACACACACACACATACAACACCATAGACCTCCCAGCAGCTCTGGCTCTCCATGCTGGGCTGCAGTATGGAACTACCAAGCCCAGTAGCACCCAGATGGAGTGGTGGAGCGGTCTGGGCATGCGCAGGAGGTCCTGTGGGTGGTCCAGGAGAGGCTCTCGAGAGTTATAAAGACTAATTTGGCCTTCTGTGTGCCCACAGCTATGAGACCTTTAGGCATGGAATATCAAGCTGAGTATCTATCTTCCATCTGAAACATATGAGTAATATTTGCTGAGTTTAAATTTAAAATTTGAGAATCACTTAGGGAATTCTTGGCTCAACTGTTTACCCATCATGTAAAGTTAATGGGGTAACCTGTCCCCGTGGCTTCTTCCTCTAGGACAGATCATCCATCAATGCTAACATACCTCTTCTGGGTATTACCAAAAAATTCTGTAAGATATCTTCTTTTTAAAGAAGATCTTATTTATTTATTTGAAAGAGTGAAAGCGAGAAAGAGAAGAGGATTCACCACGGAGCAGGGAGTCTGTTACAGGGCTTGATCCCGGGACCCCAAGATCATGACCCGAGGAAGGACAGACACTTAACCGACTGAGCCACCCAGGCCCCCCTCTGCAGAATACCTTAATATAGCTTCTAAGGATGCCTGATTTACTACTAAGCAGTTGCTGAAGCATTAGGCAAATCTGGCTCCATGTCTTTAAGAATGTATCAAGCATTCATAAAACCTAAATATTATGGCTCATCGTCATATAATGATCCTGTCTCTAACTTTGTGTTAATACATACGTCCAGAAACAGGCGTTCATCTTCTCAGGTACAATGAAGGATGCAGAAGTAAGAGCTCTTGATAAACTACTCTAAGAATCTAGATGTAGAATAAATCAGTAAATCAGTGATACAGAATGAAGAACACTTCTTGGCTACGGGAATAGCCTAAACAGAGGGAAAGAATTCTGAATTCAGCACTTCTTCCAGCTTCTGGCAGGAGCTCTGACCAGGAAGAAATTGTCTCAATACCCACGAAAGTTTTGTTTTATATGCCTGTTGGTTTGATTTGGTTTGGTTTTATGCAAGAGATCATTAAAATCTCCACCTGAAAAATGGTATGTATGACTCTCACTTTCCACAGCATCGCTGTCCCCCTTCGCAGTTAATAAAGAAGTTACGTCTTCCCTGACTCAGAGAAAACAACACCCCGACCCAAAGCAAAAAAATTCATCAGCAAGTTTGGTTCAATTAGTCAATCAAGGCTTTTCCTTATTCTAGAAATCTGTGTGAGATCAAAAGTATAGCCTTCCCTTAAACAATACAACTGAGGATTTTTACCCAGCTGTTAATTCAAAAGTATTTTCCTGTGCAAAAAGAAAAAAAAAAAGATCTTGCAATGGATCCATAATTTTAGCATTTTGAAAGCATGCCTTTGTGAAAAAAAAATTCCACAAACAAAGAAAACATTTAAATGCATCAAATTCAACAATCTGCTTATGTTGGTAACATGAAACACACATAGTCTTTCAGGAGGTCCAACTTGAAGAAAATTTGAAAAAAAAAAAAGAATATTTTAAATGACCAGTAACAAAACAAAACAAAAAAAAGTTTGCTTCAAATTTATGTTTTTGATATCTGTGATTATTAGGGAAAAGAAAAGGAAAGCACTCCTGTAAAAATAACATTTCATCTCCCCTGATTAGCTCTGTTCACAACTCTGTTCCAACAGTTGTAACCAAAGTTTTAGGAAGCAGTTGAACTTCCAGTCTTTATAAAAGACTGAATTCAGGACCAGGCCACATTTGTCCTAAAAATGTTTTCCTTTTTTTTTCTTTTTTTTTTCCTTTCTTTTTCTTCTTTTTTTTCTTATTTTTTTAAACTCTTCTGCTGAAATTGATGCATTTCTCAATCTCTTATATTGCATACTAGACTTAGATCTCATGGAAACCTTTGAAAGAACTTGCAAGAAGCCAAAATGTGAAATGGGTATCGTGCGCCAGGGTTGGCTCACTGTACCAAATTGGATGAGAAAGTACTTTGCAAATGGTACATAAAGTCCTCCACGCATGCAAATTATCCCAACTATGGCTGAATCGCCCTTCACCACAATGATGCTGATGGAGACTATGGGGACAATGATACTAAGGATGGCTGTCGAATTATGGAACATTGAATGATTTTATTGTCTGGTAGCCACTCTGCAAAGCACTTCACATGAATTTGTTTGTTACTCACAGCAATCAAGTGATACAGATTAACTCCACTTTACAGATGAATACAGAAAGCTCGGAGAAGTTAAGCAAAATGCCTAAAGTCACACAGCTCTATAGTCCATGAACATGAAACTGTCTCTTCATGTCCTCGTGAGAAGGAAGTATTGGCAAAGATTCATGAATTATGTCACTATTGTCTATGACGCAGGTACCTCAACACGTGGTCATTTACTACTGTGTAGCTATTGAAGAAAAAGGAGACACGTACACACTGTACACAGACACACACACATTTCTTCAGATACCTGAAGATATATCAGATATCCTTGAACTAACACGGACATATTCTCTTTGTTCAACAATGATTCAAATAAGGCATGGAATTTTGCTTTGAAAGGGTCTTTCTGGCATCAAGGAAGCATACAAACCAAATGTTCCATAAATGAGCATGTGTTCCCCACTGTGGCAGTATTTACCTTCCTTGCTTGGTGCGTTACTCGGAAATCTTTGGTTTGCAAATGACATAAAGTCAACTCTAACCCGCTCAAGCCAAAAGAGAGACTGATTAGTTGACAGAAGTGAAGGGCTCCAGAGGTCCAGGTTGGAGCATGGCTGAGTGCAGGCACTCAGGTGAGGAACCTGCCCATCTCATTATTGCTGCTGTTCCACTCTGCTCTGGCCTCGGTCATTGGATTCTGAATGGCTGTTCTAGATATGAGAGCACGTCTGCCTTCCTATCACCAACCAAAGTCCCAGGGAAGCCATGAATTGGCTTAGCCTGGACCACATACCCATGCTTGCTTAAACAAATTGTCCCCTTCAGAGGGACAAGGCATCTGATTGGCCAACAGAGAAGGAGGAGGAGGAGAAAAGGGGGAAAAGAGAAGAAAAAAATAGGACAAGGGCATACTGGTGATAAACAGAAGTGTAACCTAAGAGTAGCCTCTCTTAGCCCAGAGGGGTCTTGCTGGTTTTCATCTTCAATATTATCTCAAAAATTTCACTTCCAAGACAGGACATGGACAACAGATCCCTTCATGTTCCTTTAAGATCACATTCTTTATTTGTGCCTGCCTTATTTATTATATTTAAGAAAAAATGAACACAAAGCCTTGAAGAAGCAAGGCTTAAAGGAATAATGCTTTTCAGGAGGAAATAAGGTTCCTTTCTCTGCTTGATTATATTGGTCATAATTATGCTCCGTACCACGGTGACACTTAATTATACTATTCCAATAAATCCACACTCATCTTCCAATTCATAAATTAACAAAAGGAGACCACAGAGGGTGCCCCTTTACACACAGACATTTATTCCCCCTCACCCTCTAGAAAAAACGATGGGAGTTTCCTGTGGTTCTTTCTCACGCAGTAATATCCTTCGTCCCCATGGCATACAAAGGTCTCATTGATGAGAAGAGCAGGGCACGTCTACACAGGGGCAGAGAGTTGGGGATCCAGGAAATTCTCAACTGGTTTAACAAGAATGAGAACCACACCTTCTTAAAACTCCACAGTGACCAAGTCACAAAAATTGGGTCTGTAATGAGAATTGGAAAAAAAATTAGGCAAGTGCCTTCAGGCGGTTAGTGTCTGTGGAGATTGAGAATTCAGATAATAGCAAATGAGTATCTCGGGCCATTCTGCTTCATCCTGGCGGCCATGTTTCCTAAAATTCTTCCCGGCCTTCAACAGAGAGAGAAAAAGACCCTCACAGAAAGCCATTCTCTGACCCTGCAGCCCCCAAAGTACCTCTTATTAAATCCTCTCCCTTCCCACAACAATTTCTTCACTTTTCTTCCTTTAGATCCAGGGGCAGAGCACTGAGTAAGTCCTACTCCTTCACTCATGGTCATTTTAAGTTTGTACTAGGCCCTTCACATACTTGTTCACTACCTTTTATCTCCTTTCCCTCCACCATTTTCCTCCCCCAGCCCTTAAGCAAGTATCAGGTTTGAAAATGTCCTTGAATGTGTGTGTGTCTTTGTAAAACACGTAGTATACCCTTGTTCTGTGTGTGTATGTTTTTAATTTATATGAATGATGTCCAGAGACTTCGTTTTGTCTCCCTCCCTCCTTCCTTTCCTTCCCTTCCTTTTCCTCCCTCCTTCCTCTCTTTCTCTTCCTCCCTCCTTCCTTCCTTCCCTCCCTCCCTCTCCCCTTCCTCCTTTCTCTTTCCTTCCTTCCTTCCTTCCTCCCTTCCCTCCTTCTTCTTCACCTAGCATTGTTGTAAGTTTCATCTACTCCACGTCACCCTGTTACCTGGCCTTGCGCGGTAAGCCTCCTTGACATCCCGTTACACCTCCCCCTCAATGATGAACTTCCAAGGCTCCCCCACCCTCATCACCGCAAACGACACCGTGATGAACACCTCCATCCAGGCCCTGCAGGGACCCGATCAGAACTTCCTCGGGGCTCTACACGCACAAGTGGGACGGCTGGGTCATGGGACTGTAGGACTTGTCTGCCTCTGACTCCCCTGTTCTCACTGCTTTATGGAGAACCAACCATGGTGACACGGGTCAAGGTCATATCATGCGGATGGGAGAGTCTGAGACTGAGTGATCAACCTAACTTTGCATAGTTAGTTAAATGGTAGAGTCAGGATTTCAAGCCAAGGTTCTCTGAAACCCGGGTTTTCACCAGTCCACTGTACCATACTGCTTTCCATGGGGATCTTTTGATTCAGTGGCCCATGCTAGAGGCAAAGGAAGCTTCCCTGCATCTGGCTTCTTCTGCCTGAGGTGACTTCAGCCCAGCAGGCAGCGGAAAGCCCACCCTGCCCCAAGGGCCCAGGTGCCCTGGCCTGGGCCCCCAACGATGTGTCATCAGAGAAGAGGGACAGCCTCATTGGCCAGGGGCCAGCAGAGCTTAGCCCCCTTCACACCCCCCGCTGCAGGCAGATTTAACAGCTGCCATCTGGCGAGCAGAGTCCCTCCAGGGGAACGGCAAGCTCCCCTCTCTGGGTGAATCACTCACGTGTCCAATACCAGTCAGGCCCAATGAAACTTTGATGGCTCTATTAATGAAGATGAAAACTTGAGATATGCCAAAGACAGATTAAATGGCATCTTGGTAACATGATTATCTTTGAATTACTAGCTGCAGAGCGAGACGGCCAAGTGACTAATCCTAGGGAAGCCTGGGCAGAGTTTGGAAGCAGGATTCCCTAAGTTCAGCCCTCACAATGCTGTTGATTGGATCAGGGTAGTCCTTTCACTGAACAGAACCCAGAGAGCAACTTCCTTTGCTATAGTTAGACTTTCTGAGACAATATCTAATCTCTTAAATTTCTGAGGGCCCGCATCTAGAATGGTCTGCGACCAGATGAGCAGGGAGTATTTTAGGGAAAAAAACAAGGAAGACACACAAGAACCTGTCTCAGGCTCATATATATAGCTTTGTGCATAAAATGAGTAGAAATGACAGGATGCAGTGGATAGAGGGGGAAGTCTCAAAGACACAAGTCACATGCTCCCACATTCTACTTCCTTCTCGAGCTATCATCCAGTGAGTTTTTCTCTGCTGAGGTTTTCAGCAAATTAGCTGCATTAAGCCACATAATTTCCTTGAGGTTGATTGCCATTGTCATGTTCCATAAGGAAATCTGAGGCTTAAAAGTGCTATTAACTGGTCTGAGGTCCAACACCTAGTATCTGGCCATGCCAAGATTCAACCTATGTAGGGTCTTTTCACGTCCAAGGTCTGTATGGTCTTGCCATGATTTAACGCCCCAATTGTAAGGCACTACAGAGAATTTGGGAAGGGCTCCAAGAATGATTTCCAAAGCAAATGGAAAGCCAGCCCAAATAAAGAAATGATGAAACATTCATCTGTAAGACACCAGATTGAGGGGTGCCTGGCTGGTTTGGTTGGTAGAACAGGCTACTCTTGGCGTTCTGAGTTTGAGCCCCATGTTGAGGGTAGAGATTACTTTAAAAAAAAAAAAAAAGGAAAAGATTAAAAGTTGTCAAATAATGGTGTGTTGGGGGAGTGGGGCTGTTTGAGATCTGTGAATAATTGAACAAATGAAATGCCTTCCAATTTAGCTGGAATTGTGTAAAAAAGACCTGATTTGGTGGCTAGGGAATGAACTCCAAAACCTCCAAGAATCCCACTCAGCCACAAATGTTTCTAAATAATACAGCTTAATTATAAGAGGTCAAGGACGTGAATTGATGGCATGATGTATGATCTAAATTGTGTACTGTAAGAAGTTATCTAAATACATACTGAGAAAGCCCCACTCTTTCTCTTCTCTCTCAAAGTGAGTGTATTTCCATGCACACGAGCTAGAAAAACTAACGTTGGCTCTAAGACTCCTGATATACTGTACCTTTTCAATCAGATGCATAATTGTCGTAGGACTATTACTGCTTATGCTCCCACTCTCATGAGAGACTCTAATTTTTGGTTAAATTCTTAAAATCCCTTTCTGGAAAAACAAATGAGATCGCATTCCCCATTCTCCTGGTTAACGTGTCATTACCACCCACAGATCCTCAAACAATCAGCTAAATTCCATTGTCATTCTGAATTTCTCTTCTTTCTTTTGTGGCGCATTCACAAAACTTATTCAGTCCTCTGCCTTCTCAATGGGAAAAATTTTATAGAAACTACCATAAACGATCCACAATTGTGAATGGCTTTAAAAAGCCATATGGAAGGATGAATAATCTTCCCTTTTGTTTTCATCTTTCCTAAATATCCTTTCGCTTTGTGTTTTGCAATACCTTTTGCACCCAGCTTTGGTCAAAATTGTTGTTGGCCATTTGCCAGTGTGAAATGTCTTACAAAATGAATTGCTTCTTTTGTAAATAAGAAAAAACTTTGAGAAATATTGCTTCGGAATACTGGGTTATACTTAGAGCTAGCCGGTAGCATTTTCTGTAGGGGCCAAGGACGGTGGCGAGTTTATTGTGTTTTCAGCATGTATAAATCATGATCCAAGTAATATTTTGTGCTCACCTTAGTATCTTCTACTGGCTGTAGTTTGGGGCATCCCAGATGTTTTTTCAGGAAAGAATCACCTATTTCCTGTGCTGGGATAGCCTTTAATTTTGGATGAAACTTTCAGAGGACACCAGTAGCAGATGATAATTGGGACACATATTTAACCACCCATTTCTTGGCTGAGGCTTAACGAGGACACCATGATTTTCAAGTGAAGGATTTCACCCACTTTCACTGGCTTCCTTTTCTTCTTTTTTGCTATAAGAAGTTAATTTATTCCTCTTACAATTTAAATGCCAAGCTCTTCTAATATTATTCTGGCAAGGTAACTTCTGACTTACCCACTCTTTCTTTTAGCCAGATCACCCTATGCTTTCTAGGAAAAAAAAAAAATCTCTAAATGGCACATCCTAGACAAATACCAGAGTTGTGAGCTCATTCTTAAACCAAAGTGGTTGTCAAAGTTATCCAATAATGCATTGCGGGCAATTCATCTATAGGGCACATTATCATATAAATAATAATGTTTTGTAATTTTCACAAACTTAGATCTGATAGCAGAAGCTCACTTAAGTGAAGTTTTTAAAGCTCACATTCAAAAGAGACATAGTTCTCTCTTTTTGCCCAGTGAAATGCATATATCTATTCACACCCTGAATCACGAGGTAGGATTATTAAAATAACTTTCCTTTCAATACTCTTCTTTCCAAACACAATTATTCTTGAATCATATATCTTAATATAATATTCAAAATTATGAGGATAGAATGAAAAAAACTTTACTGAAATGATGGGTCCTATAAGGCAGGATTGGATTGATGGTCAATTAAAAATGTACCTGTATGCTTTCATTCATGATGTGGATTCTTTTTCTTCATCTCTGAAAATTAGCTGAAATAAGATAAATTATGCCAAGATATCTGGGCAGGAAATTGCCACTAGGTGTGAACAAGAGACATCCAATCTCTCCATTCTAATGAAAATGTAATCAGTCATATCTAAACTGAGAAGAAAAGACAAAATATGCCAAAGACTCAAATATTTAGAAAAACACCATTAAAAATCACTTCATTTACAACCCATGCTGAGAAGAACTAAATTACTCAATGAATAGATGTGAAAAACATCAAGCTTTGTTGACTTTAAGTCTCTCCCATAGACTTTCTTAATGAAAAAAAATAAGAAAAACATCAGCTTAAATCTCTATCTAATACAAAAGAAAAAAAATATATATATATATGACATATGGGCTCTCCTTAGATACACAGTGTATCTAAGAGCTACTCAGAATGCATAGGAAATACATTATAAAATAATGCAAATACTTCAAAGCACAGTGAGCCAAGCCATAGCCAAATACTGAGCAAAAATACAATGATGAGGGGTGCCTGGGTGGCTCAGGGGGTTAAAGCCTCTGCCTTCGGCTAAGGTCATGATCCCAGGGTCCTGGGATCAAGCCCCTCATCGGGCTCCCTGCTCGGCAGGGAGCCTGCTTCCTCCTCTCTCTCTCCCTCTCTCTGCCTGCTTCTCTGCCTACTTGTGATCTCTATCTGTCAAATAAATAAATAAAATCTTAAAAAATAAATA